CGCGATTACTAATCAAATATTCATTATAAAAAATATACGTTACAATAATCGATAAGAGTTCTAGGAATGATACTATATAAAAAATGCTATTAAAATTATTTTTCGATTCTGATAATATTTGCAACGAAAAATCTATATGTAAATAGGTAAGTATGAATACTCATTAGGAATTCTAATACGAAAACAAACATGTTTTTAACAATATAAACCTGACCTCTTTAACAAAAGCATGTGTGCAAATTGCAAACACCGAAGCGTACAAATACGTTAATATACAAAAGGTATTTTACTAAAAGACCCCTTTTGACCCATGTAACTATGACTTTATTTTTTACTAGCTGTCGCCTACAATACCGTCCGCGTGGTATTACAATAATTAGTAGCCTATGTGTTCTTCCAGACTATGTTCTACATTTATGCCAAATTTCAGCAAGATCCATAAAACCGTTCCGGAGATACCTTCAAACATCCATCTTTTTTATTTTCAGTTTTTTTTTCTTTTAATGATAAAACGTTAGTATTTTAAGACAATAAACAATCTATTGTTATAACAAATATTTTTTTTTACTTTTCATTTATTTTCACTTCGTTTCAATCTAAGCATTAATAATTAAATTGTTAATATTAAAAACAATTGAATTAATAAATTAAATTACGACAGTAACTAGTAGATATGTGTATCTCATGTGATTGTAGTCGTATAGTACGGCGCAGTGTTGCAATATTTGTACATTTAAGTTAACAAATGTTTCCTAAAGCTGTATTAATATTTACTTAGCAAAGAGGTTCCTTTTAAGGGTTACATTAAGTGTTAGTTTCGAGAATTTATATCATATAGTAAATTCAGATTTATATTTCTAAATAGTCAACCTCCTAAGAATACAAATGATTTTAAGCCCACTTCAAAAAGGAGGTTATCAATTCGTTTGTATTTTTATTTTAATTTAGTTATTTCATAATTTGTGAAGTCGTTGTGTGTGAAATTTGTGTGCACTTCAATATAGCTGTCCTTATTGCAGATAAACTGGATTAGCAAGAAACCTTAATTAGCTAGAGTCATTGTCCGGTCGCGACAGACAACCTCTATAAGAATCTCGGGTAAGAGAGAGACTCCTAAATATCGCGGTCCCTTGGACACTCGCTTATACGAATGTATGTGACTGTAAATCTAACCGTGAGTTTTTTCCATTAGCGAAACGATTGGACAAATCTTAGTTTTATCAAAGATAAGGTAGTCAATATGTTTTATACAAGTAGCGAAAAGGACACCTTACATAAGCGATATCTATAGCGAGCAAATGGAAGTTTTGCTCCCTATTACGTCACAACTATTGCTCAACTGGATCAGCTGTCAATCACGGATTAACACAACAATGGTACAATACTATTAATACCACGCTTCGTTCCGCCGCCGCTGCGTGTGTGACAAAGTCACGTGTTCTAGATGTTGTTTCTCACAAATACAGATGTAATCGACTTACTTAAATTATCATTTATGTTATCACAACGGACTAGGTATATAATATGAGATGTTACTCTAATTGATCGTATTTTATAAAAAATTGTTAATATCTTGTTTATAAAATTAGCGCACAACTTATGTTACGTGTTACTTGAATAAACAAACACAATCTAACGGTACGAAATAATTTTATCAATATATCTGTGTGCAGTGGACCGTATTAAGTTTTATAGAGTATCGTGCATATATTATCTGTTATCAAAATGGCCGCCGCAAGTGCGCTCGATTTGACAGCTCCTAATTTGTCATATTATCAATTAATACACGAATATTTTATTTTATCTTTTAACTTGCACAATATCAGTAGTTGTTACACGATGTTTTTTTTATCTGCAAACATCTTAATCGGTACGGACATTGATTATCGAAATTGAAATCAAATACACACTGTGTCCTGTTACTTTTTTACCGACTTCAAAATGTAGCAAGTCTCAATAAATTTGTGTGTTTATTCTTTAACGAAGAACAGTACATTAAAAAAAAATAACTTAAAACCTCTTTTTTCACAATATTATTGGCTGGCTATAATATTAAAACTAGCATGTATTCGACTTTTGAAAGTACATTTAGCAAGACTGCGTTTATGGATAGAACTAATTGCAATGAAACTTCAAATATCTTGATGGGTCTGCAAGATGATTAATGAGGTCTCGTTAACTGCGAGTTAATAACATTTAACACATGAAACGAATTCAAAACGGACACAGTCATTCATGCGTAGAGATCAATAATCTGTAACTCAAATTTGCATAACGTACTCCAATTGACTTGAAAGTTAATTAGTTTTAAAATGAATTATAACATAAAGAAGGTCGTCTGATGTTACAATGAATTTCAGAGTTTAATTTTTAATAATAGTTTTTAATACTTGATTAACATATAAGTATAATTGCAGATAACAGGATTTTCCGTCCTGAACAGCAAATAGAAAATTTCCAACATTTTGCTTTTTGGATTTATGCCTGCTATTTGCCTAAAGATATTCGCGAGAACGTATCTGTAAGGCAAATATGAATATCTAGCGGTTTTCATCTCAATGTAACTGTTTATAAAATGGCTTAGCGCCAAGAATTCAGCTTAAACTTAACTTTATATCTTATCTAAAATTATAAGCATTCAAATTTTTAAGGACATTTCCAAATAATTAATCGACATCACAGGGGACCGAAGAGCTGGCAGTTACCTCGGTCAAAGAATTAGTTTAGCTGTCCAAAGGGGGAACGCTGCCAGTATCTTCGAGACCTTGCCTAAAGGGACTCCTTTTAATAACATATTTTAGTAAATTATTCGTTATTTAATATTTTATTTTATATCATAGATTTAAGACTATATGTAATTATAGAAATAAGGATGTATAATAAATTAGCATTCAACTATTTGTTCATATTTCTTTGTTATACTTCGTAATTTATATGTTATTACAAAATTATGAAACATATTATACTATTATAAATTTAAATTGATACATAAATTCTATTTTTAGATATGTAATATACATATTAATTATACAGGCGTGTATTATGATTATGTGGTTGCTATATCAAGCAGTCGATCATTTTACGCAACGTCCAGGGCTAGGCGTGACACGGTGTTACCATATTCGTGACCTCTCGCCTCTCGATTACACTCTTCAATGGTTTGTTTATACATTTAATGCAACCATAGACATTATTATTGGGTCATTGGCGGATAAATTTATAATTAATCAGTGTACTTGTTTAAGTATTTACGTGCTTAAGTAATATTTAGCGAACCTTAAGTAATTCAATTTATTAGATGTACTTTTTTTTGCTGGATTGAATTGGCTCCTGAAACACATGGCTTATCCCTAGTTCAGGAGCCAAGGCAAGACATGATTGTGCAAATGAGTGTTACAATAAAGAATTTATTTTAATTATTTGTTTGTATTAGAAATACTTATGTGATAAATGTTTTATAATAAAAAGAAAGAAAATACAAATGCAATAGAAATAAGGCGGGAACAAGGAAAGAGACATAAATAAATCAGTAGTTATTGCTTAACTAAAACTTTTATATTGGATTGGGACGATCAAATTTGTACCTTTTTATTACTATGAACTTTTCTTATTATGACCTTCTTTAGAGCTTATTTGAATTTTGTACAAATTATCAGATCAAAATGTCTTGTTACCAGTATTAGCGGTACTGGTTGTCCTTAATGCCATAGAGAACCATAACGTCGGTTTATATTTTTAAATTCTGACATTATAGTAATATAAATCTTTAAAAAGAAACACTTTGATTCTGTTATTTATTTTATTCTTGACCTAATTATTAATTGATTGATACAATTTAGATAATAAACATATCAAGTGAGGCCTACGTAAAATAAAAAATAAAAAAAATGAGAAAGGATTCATTAGTATGCGTAGGTCAAGGTCTGTTTTAATTCCGCTTTGACAGCTAAGCACTGAGTTGAGTTTATGTAAATATCGTAGTGAGCATATGCAAATAGTTTTTACAAACGACCCGTCGTGTCGGGTTCGCGACCGCGTGGGAAAGACCGGACATTGGCAAAAATGTCCTATTGAACGTTATTGTATGCGACATCATTGTTGTTATCGCACGTTTATCTTCAAAGGCTGCTGTATGTTTGATGTAGATTACGTTACTGTTACGATTACAATATTAACTTAGCTAACAACACAAGTGTAAAACATTTACTTTTTAATCTTTGATACGATAAAGGATAGTTTACGTCTGTGACCCAGATGGGTAGACGGTGATTAGGAATTTTTATTTAGTAATTCTTCGGTAATAGCTTATTCCACATTTAAGCAACCCACATCTAAGAAGCCCTGTCTTATGTTTTAGTTGAGACACTAAAATATACATAAACTGAGACATTAAGTAATACCTAAGGGATTTCTTTGAGTAGGTTTAATATTATAAATATACATACAATATGCAAGATTTTAGTCAAAACGCGGTATTAAATTTTAAGATCCAGTATCCATTTTGGGGTACCTTAATCATATTACTGAAGTTGTTTTAAACCAAACTCTAAGGATAGTTGAGAAAATAAAAAGATTATGAACTCTGTCTAGAATTTATAACAGATGACGTCACCTAAGTAAAACATTACGGAACTTTACTTTTAAGATAATATGACGTCGGATGATTAATAACATTTACTTATTATAAATTCTCCTTACAGCGGAAAATGCTTGATATATGTTTATTAAGTAAACACTAAAGAAGCTGTCACTAAAATATCCTTAGTATAAATAAAATATAACACGGCTAAGACCCACTTGAGATATAGTAATACAAGTCCAACTAAGAAAATAGTCGGTACTGAAACCGACTAATTAGTCAGTTCCAGTACCGACTAATTTCGAACCCTAACCGAGAACTAAATCCCTATTTAATTAGTCTGTTAAAGCTATTAAGTGTGTAAACTGCCCAGACTTAATAAGGCTAGAGAGATTACGATGAATATTGAATGCAAACTGACCTGTACGATAGAGCCGACTAGGAGACCGAAGCAGAGCGCAATGCTGGTGACCTTAGGAGCGTTGGATTCAGAGATGGCGATGCATGATGCGACGCCGATTGAGGTAAGCAGGAACGTGCCTACCAGCTCGGCTACCACCTGCCTCCAGATCTGCTTGTTCTCTGTGATGTCCGATACTCCGATGATAGAGGTCGTTCCTGTGCAAAGCAAATTAATGTATGTAATTAATTCATAATTTAAATAACCATTCTTTAAATATGTTTATTTTTATCGATTAATATTTTAGCCAAAAAAACAAAATTTTTGGAAGTAAGGCGTCGTCCTACTGAGCGGCAAAAAACAACAGGTTGACGAAAATTGGACGATAAAGAAAAGAGGTCTAAGTAGATTGTCGTACACTATTTTCTTAATGTAGATATAAATAAAAAACAAGTAAGGCTCGTGTAACTTGTATTTTGACATATACTTTACCTAGTCATAGCAATATTATATGTTTGTTGTTTTTTAAATTAAAAACATGGAATGATATGGAAAGTTAAGGAGTATTTATTCATTTATTTAATTTCAATAAAACATGTGACGTAGATAACAAGTTGAACAATTATAACAACAATAAAACAATAATATTATAACATAATCACTGTTTTATATTTAAACCCATAATTAAACAAAGAATAACGAAATATTAACTGCTTAGTAAAAAAGAGGAAGGGATTGTCAATTAATTGTAGCTTATAATCAATGTTTACCTTGAAGAGGAATTTACGAGCACATGGGATTTGGTGACCTCTGAATGCACTTAGCCCGAACTTCTTAAGTAGAAGATCGTAATTATACTTAGGCTGTCAACAAAGAGCTTTTTGTACTTTAGCACGGTTTTCAATGTTTACTTATTTCTTTTTAAAATTTGTAAAATGTTACAATGCACTAGTATATGCGACCGCGGGAGGTTTTGTGATATTTAAACCAATTTTAACAGACATGTACTTCTCTCTAGAACAAAAAAGCTATGAACGTATAGTAATTTAAAAATGCCAAAATTCAATGTCGTGACGCATATTTTGTGTTTCAGAAAATAATATAATATTACTTTAAATTACCACAATATATTAAATTTAAAAAAAACACTGCTTTAATTAAATAACCACAACAGCATTAATCAATCAAAAAACAAAATGATACTATTAAATAATTCTGTAAACAATATAAGTACCGCTAAATTGACCCATGCGTGATTTATAATATTAAAACTCTAGCCGCATAATAATATAAATAAGTAACGAAATATTAACGTAAATGCAAAAACCCACAAATGACTCACGTAATTGCATTATTGTAATTGCATTTTTTTTGTATTTTCAATCTTTAATTTAATGTTGAATTCCATGACGTAGATACGTAGTAATTAATTTAACACGATTTTTTTTCAAACTTACAACAAACACACCTATTAAATAAAAAAGAAATTGATTATCGCACTAATATTATAAATGGGAATAATTGCATGACTGGATGGATGTTTGTTCGGAGGTATCTCCAGGAAGGCTGCATTTATCTCGCTGAAATTTGGCATAGACGTCACATAGTCTGGAAGAACACATAGACTCCTAATTAAGTTTTTATAAATTCCTTAATTAATTAAGACGCGGACGGAGTCGCGAGCGACAGCTAGTGACATAAAGTTTATATTCAGAGGTGTCGAGTCAATATTATAGCTCTCAAAGGCCTTTATTATTATATTTTTTTTTATAAAAATATTAGCAGATTTTTTTTGTCAATTTACTAATATTTCTTTCAACCATTCCAACTAAGCTGTATGCTTGTACTAAGGATATGGTTTACGACAATAGTCGAATGGTGGGATTCGAAACCCCGACCTCGTGGTCGGAAATCCGTACCCTTAACCATTAGGCTATTGACGCTTCAATTATTGCGCCGATCATTCAGTGTTTAATATTATCATTAATCGAGTTGATGTTTTTGTTCCAGATTAATTACGAATGTAAACAGGCCTCTGTGCGGAGAAATGCGACGCGTGATGTGACGTCACTGTCTCTATCTTCATCTTGTTATTTATACACAAATTCTTGCAACAAACATTGCTGTTTAATAAATATTTCTTTGTTCGAAATATAATTAATTTGACTTAACTATACTTGAAATATTAAAAAAAAAACTAGCTGATGCCCGCGACACCGTCCGCGTGGTATAAAAAAATGAACGTCCTGAGTATGCTACATATGTATGCCAAATTTCATTAAGAGAGATACCTTCAAACAAACATCTATCCTTCTATGTATAATAAATCTTCACATTTATAATATTAGTAACGTACAATATACTTAATGACACCTATTTAGATTTATTCGAGTCTACCGCAAGTATTTATTTGATTCCGGCATTATGTAACAAAATATCTTTTAAATGATCGCAATTAAAAACAGATTAACATCATACGAAACAAACATTTACCACAATTTGAAAATTATATAACATTAATATAAAAAACTAAATGGTCTTTGTCTAATTTACTAGTAGTCGCCCGCGACTCTTTCCTCGCGGAATTAAAAAAAAAAACCTATGCCAAATTTCAGCGAGATCTATGCAACTGTTCTAGAGATAACTTCTAACAAACATCCTCCAACATAAGATAAAATAAAACATTATACGTTATCGAACAAAAACTCACGTAAGAATTTTCCATTTAAACTCTAAATTCTATTTTTAATCGAGATCCTATTTTTAAACCCCGTCCTGCAAGTAATGGGTTCAACATTTATTTTATAGCACATTCTTTAGTGTAGCTAGAACTAACCACAAATAATCCAGTTTTAGAACCTAAGGGTAGTGTTTGTCGTATTTATAGATCTAGTAAAACATAAGAATGTTTCTTATAAACAACGTGCAAATAAGACTAATATTTTGAATATAGAACGACTTCATTTTAAACATTTTGATTGTTTTTTTTTTGCTGGCCAGTAAAAAAAATATAATTGTTCTAATTTCAAACTTACTCTTCTGCACCTCATCCATGGCGTAATCCGTTTTCATTTTCAATAACGTAAGCACACTTTACGGTTAAGATAAAAAGATTGGCGTGAAGCACACCAGATATTTAACTGATATCCGCGAAAGTACAATTTGTTACAATTAAATTCCGATAGCGCGTCGTGTGCGAGTTCGTTAGTCGTTGGTTGCGTGCGACACCACCTTTCTGTCTCGGCACATACACCTGAATGCGAGATTTTGTGCTTGATGGGGATGACAGGTAGAGCTCGAGAGTGCACCGGACGTATTCTCGACGTGTTTCGGCCGCGGCGTGTTTACAAATCACCCGCCAATTTGATATTCATTCGACGACGACGCCCGCAGTTGTTCGGAATTCGCTAAGTACCTTGTAGTTGAATATAAATAAGTTACAAGCCTATTGTTGTATAGCGCCTTTGGATTAAAACATTTTCAACTATATGAGTGGTATGATAGTTATATACAATGTTTTATGTTTTTACATTCTTCCCTACATATTATAAGTTTCTGAAAGTACGTTTAAGTTAAATACAATGCTATTAGAATTTCTGGTATAGTAAATTACAATCAACCCGTATGATTGTATTCGGAGCATACAATTGTATTGTAAAATCCCATATTTAAATACGCAAAGGACGCGTATGTTTAAAAAATTCGATGCTCGTTTATAAAATAGAGCGTCATTTGTTATTCAAATTCCGTTATTGTTTGAACATCTGTTCTAATTCAGAGACAATATAAAATTGATGAAAGACTTATTAAAACTCAATTTCATTATTATTATTACTAACATTTTTCACAGGATATAAAAAGAAGAAGTGAGGAGTGGTGTGTCAGCACTGACTCAAATGGAGGTCCGTCTCTGGCTACTCCACCGGGTTAAAGGCGTGAGTTCTGTTGTTTACACTTTTAGGAACCAAATCTTGTAATAATTTTCTGTTATTTCATACCGGACAATTTTCAATTTCATTACAAATAGTAATATTTTGAATCGAATAACTTTACGTATATATATTTTATCCCTAAAGATCCGGAAAGAGATATACAAAAATATGGTATTGATTTATTTCAGGGTGAAGTTGTCATTATTATTCCAATGTATGACATTCAAGGATTGTTTTTTAAAACAATGGGAGGTAATTTTATTGAATGAGCATGTTCTTGATGCGTGTCAAATTTATGTAATTTTATAAAAAAAAATCTCCCGTCACAATGATAGTTACCATACTCCAAAACGGCTTGAACTTGAACTTTTATATGCATATTTAGTAGGTCTGAAAATCGGCAACTATCACAGTGACTACTCAGTCACAAAAAGGACCTATTCGTAGGTGTAAAATCGTATACAAAGTTACTTTTCTTTAACATACTTATGAACCGTAAAGAATCGGTAGTATATTGATAAGAGTAACTCCGCTCTATTTGCCACTCTACCGCTAGTAGTAAGAAAATATTGTGTTTTCTTGACACACTTTTATTTATCTGTGTGATACCATCACGCTAAGTAATATGCAATTATTTAATCAGGCATTGAATAAAAATTGTTGAATAAAAGCGCGCGTAAAAACGTTATCATGGAGGTCATAAAGAAACAATTAGAGAAGATTACAATTTGAAATTAAATTGTAAAACTCCTAAGTTAATTCCGGATTCCGACAAATTGTCATGAGTCGTGTACGCCAGGGATGCATTTATAAATATTTAATATCATGAGAACATCCTGTTCGAATTGCCGTCGTTTTGTTATAAAAAAACATAAGTTATTGCGTAGAAAATAACTTAATATTATTTATTACTGTGTTCTGCTGCTCTTATGTCCTTTATCAATATCAAACTTTAACCGCGGCGATTTGAAAAATGACCAAGAAAATAAATTAATTTATTTAACTCTTTTGTAGAAAAGAAAAGAAATTAATGTTCTATTTTCAAATACAACATTTGATCTATTGTTGCTACTAAAATTAATGGCAGAAAATATTCTCCAATAATGTAGCAACAACTAGTTTATTATAAATATAATATTAAAAACAATACTGTGGACATCTTCCTTGAACTTTTCTCATGAAGACATCGCAGCAAACCGACACGGCGTCTGTATAAAATCCGTAACAATCTCACGTACGTACAATAATAAAAACAACATGACACGTTATTGATCATAGCAAACCTC